CCCCCCCCAGCCGTCCCGGGCAGGCTTTTTGCAAACCGTTGGAACAAACTCCTTCAGCCTTTCTGGAAAGATGGGTAATCTTCCTCAGGTGTTTTGCTTTGTCAAGTACCCCTCGAAATACAACATTTCATGCACGAAGGCAGTTAAGCACGTTTTTCTCTGCAGTTCTTGCAGGTTGCAGTGCTGAAAGGAACAAGGCAGCCCTTTTCCCTGGATGTCTCTACACCTCTTAGCAGCTTTTTTCTTTTAGAATACCTCACATTCTGCAACGAGACTTGTATGAGGGGCCCTTTCGTGGTTTCTGAGCTGTCCGTGAGGGAGAAGTATGTGCAAAGTATGAGAATGACACAAGCGAAGCCATCATCTGTCAGTTCCATTTTTTTTCCAGTACAGCTGAATGTGCACGAGCTGTTGGAGAGGCTCGCTTGCTGGCCTTTGGTCAAAAGAAATCACTTTGCCTGCTTTCCTTCTGGGAGAGGAAAGCAGTAAATTCACATCGGGTACTGTAAGAAATGGTGTGCAGCATTTAGTGTGACTAGTACTGAAAATCAAATATAAGTTCTCTGTGGTCATCAATAATCTTAGATAAAGGCTAGGTTAGAATCCCAGAACGGTTTGGGTTGGAAGGGACCTCAAAGATCACCCAGTTCCAACCCCCTGCCATGGGCAGGGACACCCTCCACTACACCAGGTTGCCCAAAGCCCCATCCAACCTGGCCTTGAACACTTCCAGGGATGGGGCATCTACAGTCGTTTTCTAAGTCGCATCCAACTGATCTGAATCTATTTAATGTTAGCTGTGGTTTAAAACCCAAAACATAACCTTATCACCTTTCAGGCCAGAAGGGATGACTGGTGTTTTATTAATGTCGTTCTAATCTTTAATTCAAGAAAAAAAAAATATTTCAAAACGCACACTAGAAGGTCTTAAAAACATTACCGTGCTTCATTTTCCTTTAAAAAAGGTATCAACAGTAGCAAAGCACAGCACCAAGGCATTGGTGCACTCTGAGAAGGTAACACACCCGGGTTAAGCTGCAGAGCTCACTGGAGCAGGAGTGTGTAGCTACCACCTCGTGCAACCCCCGTGTGCTTCACCTCGCCGCCGCCGCATCAACCGTGCAGGGCGGGAACGAATTAAACAGACGCTGCTGGCACTGTTTCATCCAGAGAGACAACGGTGTAGTAAACAAAAGGCTGCATTACCCTTTACTGGACACAGACCAGAAAAAGAACACAAGACTCATCTCCTATGCAAAACTTCTAAAACCTTACTACTTGTTAATTCACCCTAAACACTTACACATTCTTAGCATGAGAACACCTTAATGAAAATGGCAAACTGCTATCCAGTGTTTTCAGCCTCTGATAAGCACAGAGTAAGAGGCCTGAGAAATCACACTACATTTACAGAAGAAAAAAAATATTTGCAACTTCAAGTTATTCAACAGGTAATATATTCTTGTAAATATTGTGGCGTAACTACAGCAGTTAAATCTCCTAACAAATTTAAACATCTTGCCACCTTGATGTGTCTACAGTAGTCACTGAAAACATGAACTTCTGAATACAATTGCTAAAAGTATCTCTGTTCTCAAACAGTAACTATAGACAGTTTGCTAAGGCTGTGTTGTGTGTGTTACCCCCCTCACCACAGCAGTGGTGCATTAAAATATGGATTAGACATTTACTAATAATTAGCACTAAGCTGAGGTAACAGGTAAGGAAAACTAGCATCAGTACATGTTTACTAATTGCCATTTGCTTACGAGACCATGAAAACCAGAGAATGGTTTGTTATCTTAGTTTACATTCGGGCAATGGTATTAAGTAGAAAACTCCCATTTGGACAAATCCTACATGAAAGAGATACTACCTCCAAACCCTTCAAGATGCCACTCTTAGCAGTCCCGTTAGCCATTTTAAGATACATGCACAATTTCTACAGCTTGGGAAACAAACTCACTGTTACCTCCAAAGCTGTCTCAACGTGTTTGCTGCTATGAACGGAGGAAATAAACATTTAACTGAAAAATGCAATGGGCATGGTAGAGAAGACTCAGGCAAAGGAAAGCAGCACGAATTCCACGACCCAATTTCAGTTTGGGTGGCGGGGAGGAGAGAGGTGATTTAAATAACAAGGTTTCAGAACACGTAGCACAGCTGGTAGCTCTCAAGTTGATCCCTGGTTTAACATTCATGTTGCACAACTTCTGCGTAGGTTTGTTGGGCATTTCTCCTTCAGACCCAGCAGATCTACGCTTTCAGGTGTCTGCTTTACCAGACTGCTATCCTGGAGGAGTCTCTGGCCTCCTTCCACGCAGGTTACCAGAACGATCTCTTCTCTTCTGCCGTCTCCCAGGTGCGTTTCAGAAGATACACTGCAGCGTGAAGCCCCCCCACGTTCACCCACACTGTCTGAGCCTTGCGCCAGATGTGGCCCATTCGTGACAAGGCCTGCAATCCAAAACAGAGAGCCAGAGAGTGGTGGCAGCTTCAAGACAAGATAATAAGGGCAAATTTGCTTTAGAAATTATTCTTGATTATTCTAAATCACATCTTATGGAGAAGTCAAATGACTCTTCAGGTCCAAACCGGCATTTAAAAGCTACTAATTACTGCTTTAAAAATAGATCCTCTTCTGTAATGAAATCAGCTTATGTTTTTTTATCAGTATATTTCAGGTGCAAATAGGTTTGACTTTCTCTCACAGAACATACCTTGGCAAAGCATTTCTTGTCCTGCGTAAGCAGCACAGCCCTGCCTGTCCCTGGCGTGCAGATCCTGCCCATCTCCGTCAGGCAGGCTGGATAGAGATCCCAGTTCTTCTTCTTCGACCCTATCCTGCAAAATGAATTGAGATCCCCTTTGTGATAGGTCTTTCAGACATGGATCAGCTCATTCAGAACCGCATTTACTACTAATTTCAATGTGCATTTTTAATGTAAACGCTTCTTAATTAGGCCCAGTTAAGTAATTAACTAGAGATGATGCAAACCATGGCCAGGCAAGCCCGTGCAGCAGCAGCGCGCAGTAACCCCAGCCGCGGCAACTCACCGCTTTCCAAATGGCATGTCTGTCACAATGATGTCCACAGAACCAGTCCGCAACGGGAGATTGCAAATATCCCACTGAATGATGTCCAAGGGTATGCCCAAGGAAGTGCTGCTGCAAACGCAAAGATCTTTATCTCACAAAATACTTTTAAATTGAGATCTATAATGTGAGCAGAAGAATAAATAGGAAAATATAACAAGACAGTGAAATGCATCAATGCAAAACAGATTTCTTTACATACAACACTACAGGAAAAGTAAATCACTCGGACTCTTCTCACCTTTCCTTACTCTCGTTTTTCTTCAGTAAAGAACAGATGTTGTTTGCTGCTCTCTTTACAGCTTGTGGGTTGTTATCCCCAGCAATATGGTAGCAGCTAGGCCACTCTGCAGCTCCCTGGGGGAAACATTGATAAAAGGCAACACCAGCATCAACACTGCTTAACTGGGAAAAGCACCACCAGAGCAGCCGAGCAGAATCATTCGAACATGACCCGACACAACAAGGCAGCGGGAAGCCGACATCAATGGTTTTAAACTTTGTAGCAGATATCTGTTACAGCTATTATGCATCTTAAAAAGCTTAAAATACTTTTGGGTTTAGTTTCTTCCTGCTACAGCTTTGGGAAGGAAAATGAGGCCATTTAGAAAAATCCTATTTGTACCCGTTTAAGAGTTGGTGAGATACTTTTGGAGTTGGCTATTCAGTAATTACCAAGAAAACTTGCACATATTACTCAGCTGCAGATACTGCCAAGTTTTATTAAGTTACAAAATAAAGGAAGAATCACCTCTATTGGTATTGCACCTGTCCCACACATGGGATCAACTATGATATCTGTGGGCTGGGGATCACAGAGCCTGAGGACAGAAAAAAAGACATGGTGAGAAAAGTCCTAAAAATGCGAATTTCTGTAAGGAAGGAAAACAGGACTGTTTTAATCACCCTGATTCTACCCTTCTACCAGTGACTTCTGCATGATTACTTTTTCCATTCACTAACGAGCACTTGATAAGCAGCAATACAGCGAAACACTTCCAAGAACACGATAACAGCATTCTGAAAACTGGCTAATCGCAGCCAACGTTTTCTGAGATGGAAAGCATCCGCCAATAATTACAAAGCACACATTTCTGCAATTACACTGCCTTTTTCAGTAACGAACAGAAACGGCTTTTGAGGCAGCAGTGGGGGAGATAAAGGACTAATTTCTGGAACAAAATGACTTGTTAACAGAATAAACCAAAACGACGAAAGCGCACTGACCTCAGCATGCCGTAAGCAAGGGTCGAACGGAGAGTCGTGGGGCCGAAGTGTGTGATATTTCTCCTGTGAAGACTCTCCTCGGTTAGGGCAATGCCCACCACTACTTCGTTATTGTGAATATTCAGCAGAACCTACAAGAGAACTTGAGCACTCAATTTCAGGAGAAACAGAGATGGTAATTTAAAAACCAGGAAACAGGTACAGCAAAAGCATTCTGGGAAGAGAAGCAAAGCACCTTTTGTGGTGATAACAGTGGACAGAATCCCGGAGAGCATTCGGACCTTTTCTCATTCACACAGAATCTCACACAAGACTTTAAAAAGCGCTGTAACCATTACTCTGACTCTTTACAAGTTTTTTCTGTGAGTATGGGGGGGACGTCGGGCAAGTCCTGCAAGTCACAGTGAAGCATTTGCATAGCAGCAGTGAAAACCACATTCCTGGTCGCCTCCACCATGTTTATTTGGAAGGTGAAAATATTGTTACAGGACACTGGGCCAGCCTGTAAGAGACCTGCAAGAAAATCTTTGTTTTCCTTCCCCTCAAAAACGGTGGTCCCACACTACTGATGGACACGTCTGCTGGACGTCCTTCCCAATCTCTGCCTTCCCCAAGACAAGAAATAAGCACAGGGCAGTTAATATGAACCCTTTTGTCCCTTTCAGCCATAACCTACGGCTTCTAGATGAAACGTCCTCCGTTAACTTACGCTCGTATAAAACAACGGATTAAGCATTTAACGAAGGTGAAAGTGAAGCAGAAGGCACCTACGCTATATGTAAACATGAAGGAGACCAGTCACTACAGGAGGAGGGAACACTGGGTACCAGAGGGAGAGGGCAAACAGCGGTACTGGGTGTAGTGATGTTAGTCAGGTAACACGGGGAGAAGACAGCCCTGTCTGCAGAACAAAAGAGATCCGAGGGGAGGAGAGGTGCCCACACTGGGTCACGAAAGAGGTCGTTATTATGGACAGCCAAAGCAGCAGCGAGTGGTGGGACCTGAGGATGCACATAACGTGCCAGTGAAACGAACGCCGCGATTTCAGTGTTACTGGTTTTCAGTTCCAGAGTCACCTTTTGAAGACGTTCTGCAGATGTCTAAGATCAGAATTAAGGAAGAAGCATGTTTACAGCAGGAAAATCGGTATTCCCAGGCACATCACCGTACCTCCACATCGAAGTTAGTCATGTCGGCTTTCCACTGGAAGTGCTCCTGCACAGCACCGCCGAAGTCTCTGGCAGCCTCGTTTGACGTGAAGCTGTGCTTGTCTCCTGCTCTGTTGCACGTAACGCGGAACTTCAACACCTTCGCTGCCTCTTTGCCCGTCGGACCGTCACCAGCCGTGGCCTCGCTCCCAGAACCCGCCTGCAATTCGCCTTTGGCATCCGATCCTTCGTCATCCTCCTCCTCCCCATCTCGGGGTGCCACTCCTCCTGTCTCCTCTGTATCCCGGCCACCAGCGGGTTCCCCCCCTGCAGCGTGCTGGGCACAGTCCTCCTGTCTGCCAGCGTCTTTTTGATCCGTTCCCTCCTCTTCTCCACCGTCAGCCAGCTTTTCTTTGCTTGCAGAACTCTGCAGAGGATGTTTTTTGCGTTTTGTCTTTTTCTTTTTTAAGCTGTTGTTTAGCTCCCAAACTTTCAACGGATCAGTCCAAGGCAGTGTTTTAACCAAATCTTCCAAATCCCTTAGAGCATCTTCCTTTAAAAGACAAAAAAGTTGTGCTTTGAGGTCATTCCCTCACTTTTAGGTTCCACCACCCGCAGAATTTCGTCACTTATCTCGTCAAATCAGCAGCTAACGCTGAATCAAGAGACCACAGTGACACTGTGCTGTCCAAAGTGCGACCCACGAGCACGGTGGATTTTGCCCAAGCGTGTCAGACAACACGACTGCCCTTCCAGTCCACAGGCCAGCCGGGAGGAACTGGGATAGTGTCACAAATGACACAAAAAGCCCCTTGTTCATGGCACACGGTACTTCCTGAAACCAGCCTTAAATGAACTAAACACTCCAGAGCCCGTAACTGACTGGAAAACGAGAAGGGAGCAACTCACCTTGTTTTCCTTAAACTGGTAGTCTTTGAACTCCTGCACCACCACAAACAAATTATCCATTTTTAAGAAAAAGCCACAGCGTCACGCTAGAGCACGCGTGCCGGGGACTGCGTTTATGGTGATCAGAACGGCCACCTCGCGGCTCGATTTAAGGGATCGCATTTTCCCACCGTTTGTGTTCACACGGGGGCTGTCGCTTTACGCGCGAAGGCGGAAGGACTTTGCACGGGCTCAAGCTCCGTCTTCGGCTTCCCCGGCCCGTGCAAACACAACACAGCCCCGGACGCAGCTCTCGAGACCGAGCCAGCCAGGGCAGAGCCCTGAACTGGTTTTCATCCCATTTTCTGGTGATGGACGGGCCCGGGCCCGTCCTCTGCAGTACAACTGCCGCTAGTCCG